TTTAAACTGAAATCGGCTCTTCTTTTGTTCTTTTTTGTGTTTAGATTTTATTCTTTGCTCCCGTTAAAGATGATTGGCCCCAGCGGAAACTTTCCAAAACCACAACTGTATCTACATTTTAAACCAAAAATGATTTTTAAAAATTAAATATGTCCAAAATTGATATTTGTGATCAATTTAACTGATATAAACCCCATAATTACTAGAATAGATATCTGAAAAATAGAAAAAAATGACTTTTTCTTCTTTTAAATAATTAAAATAACATCCATAATAAATCAAATCATCATTAAAATATTCTAAATTAAGATTTTACAATCCGTATGTTTTTGTGTAATCGGTGTTCTACAGAGTAAGACCTCCTGTCCATCAGTTCCAGCTCCGTAGCTGTAGTCCTACTGACTTCCGGGACAGCTCAGCGCCAGTCCACGCAGCAGAGTTTCTCCCCCTGATGCTCCAGGGGGCTCCTGCTCGCCCTCCGCGGACCCTCCACTCAGCTCCGCTCACTTTCATCCGTCAGAGCCGCCCTGCCTCAGACGCCAGGACCCGCCGGAGGTTCCGAACACCGGCCGGTTCGGAACCGATATCGGAGCTAACCCAGGAGGCTAGCGGCGTTAGCAGTGTGGGCTGTGGGGGTGAAGGTTCGGTCCGGACGGGGCAGAGCGCAGCATGGCGTCTGTGAGCAGCAGTAAGACCGGGGAGGCTCCGAACCGGACTCAGAATGAAGGTGAACATAGTTCGGATTAAAACACTGAATTCTCATTGAACCTTAGCAGCCTTTTAAACTGGTTGGACCAGTGAGAGCTGCAGCTAACTGCAGCTAAATCTACCAGTTTGGGCCGAATAAAAAAACTGGTTATCGGTGAAACAAAGCCGAACTATCAGTTGCTATGGTGACTAATTTATATTAGTAGAAGAAGTCGATATTTAAAGGTGAAAAGCAGCTTTGATGTAAATTCATGTTTTTTTAGATGAAGTTTGGCAGAGATCTTGGTTTCTCTCATTTAGCTGCTGACTGGTGCAGTTGTACAGGTGAAGGTTCTGTTAAACATCCATTCCGCCTTAAGTACTGCGGCTTTAAGGTGGAATGAGCGGTGACGGCTCAGTAAATGTCACCTGGTGACGTGGAGCTTTGACTCAGGTGTGTCAGCGGCCCCTGAACACATGGGGAGGGAGGGAGGGGGCCCTCAGGCAGCAGCTCCACTGATGAATGAACTTATTGTGCTACGGAAGAGGATTAGGTCCAATAAAAAAAACTGATTTTTACATTTTATTTGAGTATAATATGCAAAAAACTAGTGATCTATATATTATATTAATTATTTATAATGGTAATAATCTCTATACTCATTCAGTAGAAACCCATGTCCTGTATTTATGGAACCATTATTTATCCTCCACTTCCTGCTATTGTACCCGTACCTGTGTAATGACAATAAACTTGAATCTAATCTAATCTAAAAAGTCTTTTTTCCTCAGAATTCTGACTTTAATCTCTGAATTCTGTCAGCTAACAAACATGTTAGCATCAAGCTGTAGCCATTTATGTTTTATAGACTAGATATCTTCTTTTAATCACCTTCTGCTCTTCCGTTAATGTAATAGCATCACCAGGAACTCGCCTTATTCTGTCATTTTCCACCAATGTGTTCCTGTTTCTCCCAAACTACTCACCTTCATGGTGCCCATCTACATTAAGATCCACAGTTCTCAGATTAAAGTCAGAATTCTGACTTTTTTCTCATATTATTCTGAAATAATATTTAAAAATCAGTTAACTTTTTTTCATTTTTTCAGTGGCCCTAATCGTCTTCCGTATGAATCTGACCCGGTCCTCCCTGCATGTCTGCTGGGTTCAGGGTGAAATGGATTCCAGAGAAGCAGAATAAAAACCGAAAAATGTTATTTGCTCTAAGAACAAAAAACTCAGAGGAGATATTTGGCTAAAACGTTAAACATTCAGAAAAGCCTGTAGATATAGTTAATGATAGACTCTGTGTCTGCACCTTGAAGCTCTCTGGTTCTTATTCCTGAAAAATGTTTTTTTTTTGGGAAAAACTCTTTAAATAACACTTCATAACTTATATGAATTAAATAACCAGAAGAGATGACAACTGATTCTGATTCTTGTAATCTTTAGGTCAGATTATACTTCTGCAAACCGACACATCAAGTGTCGCTTGGTTCTGGTTGAGAACCAGTTTTGCTGGTTTGCTTCTGCACCATCAGTCTGGAATTTCTAGGGATGCGCAGCAGTTTACCGCCAAAGCTCAAGGGGGAGCCTATTTGAAAACTTGCGAGAACTTCGGCGGTGCCGGGTGCAGTGTTTATTTTCCAACAATAATGGCGCGTCTGCAGGATATCATGGTCACAGAGATGGATCTTGCGAGACATCGCAGAGGAAAAGGTTCTGTTAATGGAGTTGGCAAAAAGACCGATTAACCTTTCATCATAGTTTTCTTTTGTAGTTGTTCCTCGGTTTTTAAAAATGGCGCGCCGCGGCACCGAATGGAGAAGGACGACCACACAGACAGCTGTAAAGGCGTACTAAGGACCAATCACAGCTGGTTTTTGTCTGCGCACATCTGCTTGAGGTCTTCACGGGTTTGCGACCCTCTGATGCGTAGTCAGGATTTTTTTGAGGTGCGTGACGACGGGTAGCAGAACCTCTGCTACCCGTCCAGAGACAGATTTGACGCTGCAGAGGCTATGCATCAGAAGCATAAATTGGACTTTACTCAGATCAGAGAAGTTGCTTAGAGTTACAGAAGGCAGCTGCTCACCTCTCAGGAAGTGGCCACGATTAATAGTTAAAAAGACATTTTATAAATCTCCAGTCTGCCACATCATCACATCAAACACATTAGCAGATGTGGAGACATCCATGGCTCCAGCCTTATCGCAATATTACATTTTGTTCTTACGTGAAGGACGCCGCTCTCATTCCATTCCCAAATCATTTTCCATGGACACAATGAGGATTATAACTGTATATCTGGACAGATAAACTGTCTTAATTAG